GGGGTTGTCAAACATTCTCCTGTTTGTATACCAAAAAAAAGTAGAGTTTGGTAGTTTAGGCTAATTTCCCCGGGGGTTAGAAATTAATTCCAACTTTTCAACAGCCTTGGACAAGTCAGCTGATCGTCTCCACATAGATCTAGATCTACTACTTCGTGAGATGTTTTTAGTAGTACAAGCAGTCTCTCTCTATCTGGAGGTCTGCGACTGAGTTATCTCGAAGAGATACTTTCATTTTTATTGAAAAACGACGAAGTAACAAACTGCGACAAATGTAGAGCTATCTAGACCTATCTAGGTACAGATCTATTCTTAATTGCACTTAGGTTAAATTCTAGGCATAAGCAGGTAAGAGGTTTTGACTTTTTGCTTGTAGTAAGTAGACGGAAACTGCACGGTTGATGTTACATGTAACAACAGTGAGGAGGAGACTTTAGCCTAGTGTGCGTTTTTCATGCCTCAGGCATGTTTCGCTTTTGTCCCTAGATTCTAGATATCTAGACAAGATTTTATAGATCTAGATCTAGATTCTATATGTGTAGTGTAGATTTTTCTAGATTCTAGATCTGGAATCTAACCCTAGATCTAGCCCTGACCCGGTGATATTTATATCTTGTAGATTTTAGTTCCGTTCGTTAAATAAAAATAAAAGTGCATGATCCATCGACTTGTTTACATCCCGAGAAGAAATCCAAAAGTCTTGATGACCAAATAGGCAACACAAAGAACAGGGGTACATCATAGCCAATATCTGCGATATGTCTGCAAAGGGTGTGGACTGGCGCCGATCGGCGATACATCCGGAAAGAGTAAGAAGAGAAAGTTAGAACCCTTCCAAAGGGAACAAAAGTCAGTCATTCAAAGTAACAGTGGTCTAAAGGAAAAGCTTTTCCAACACTGCCAACAGCATACTTTACATGATGTTCAAATATAATTAGGACAAAACAACATGCATATATTCTGATAGTGTTAGACAAGATGGTATTGGAGTTTGAAGAGTCCGAATAGCTACGGCACGGGAAGCTATTCAGACTCGAGTCCGAATAGCCACTTTGATTAATTAAGTCTTCTGATAAGTTGTGTAGCCTATTCAGATTCCTGCTTTGTTGCAGCAAGTTTAGTTTGAAAAAGTTATAGATAGGATAAAATTTTTACTTTCCCTCCTCCTATGCCATGCGCACATACTGCTTTCTTTTGGGGATTTTATCTGAGAATGTATTTTCGAAGTGGCTAGCCTGAGAGTCTAGCCATACTTAGATCTAGGTTTGGTACAAATACTTTAGGCTTTGCAAACTAAAAATTTCATTTACAATTCAGCCATAAAGTACGGCTAGCCTGAAAGTACGGCTAGCCTTAAGTACGGCTAGCCTAGCCGGCTTGCCAATAAAGTCTAGCCGTACTTCGGCTAGACTCCCAGTCTAGCCGTACAAGACTTATCTTAGGCCCTATTTTTAACATTAGAAAACAGGAGGTTTAAAATACATGCACTGTCATTAAGGCACCTGGTTTCGTCTCAAATACAAATACTTTAGGTACTGCAAACTAAAAATATGTATATATTTACAATTCAGTAGGCCTTTTTTATGGTCAGTCTGGCCCCATCATATTTATTAAGAATAAGTACGGCCAGCCCAGCTGTCTAGCGGCTAGCCTAGCAGTCTAGCCGTCATTAAGTACGGCTAGCCTCTTCCGTATATTTTTGGCTGCAGAACACAATAAAAATTTCTTTTTATTTCATGCACATAAACACTTCACAGCGGTTATAGAGCGCCCATTTAGTTTCGGCTGGCGCGAGGCAAGCAAGCCCGCGCTTCCCCAGGTCACGGGGTCATTTACCTGCGCCGCCGGGGATTTCCCTAATCAGCCGAACACCGGCAGCGCTCTTGTATTTTTTGCAAAGTTTACCAGCACAGTGAGCCAAAGCTAATGTAAGATGAATATTTTAATAAAGACCACGTAAATATTCAACATATTAAGGAAGAAAATGAAGAAATCGGAAGAACATGGTACATTACACTTAAAAGCTGTGAAGTTCTCAAAAAGGGGACTTAATTTGATAAATGTGTCATGGGTAATCAATTATAAACATCGATTTAAATATGATTGGCCCCAAACGAATTCAATCAAATTTGCACACAGGGCTGAGAACATAATGAAATTTGTACTGACAAAGGGGCATATGCACGAAGTTTCTGGATCCGTAATTATTCAGGTTTGAAGTTGATTTTTGCAATACTCTTGCTTTGCGACCTTGTTTTTTCATAGCGATATCCACGATACATGTAACTACAGAACAGATCTTTTCTTGCCGATACACTTATGAAAACACAACCTAAACACAACATACAAAAAGAACACAATATTGCTGGACTGGAGGAATTATCTCATTTTTCCGCTGTAAGCTTTCGTCTTTTGATGGGTGGTGCACACGACAGAGTAGCTCAGGGTGGGTTGGACGTGTTGTGACTGCAGGATTGTTTTGACGTGTTTTTCTTTGTCTGTTAGGCCACGGTTGCATGAATGAGCTCACCCCTTGCTCACAATGGAAGGCCATTCCAAACCCACATTTTTGTATCCAAGGAACGCAGTGTTTCTCAAGGATGTGTTGTTTGGAGATGACCTTTTCTTTTGATCGATTTTGATTGAGTAGCACGTGTTTTACAGCACTATCGACTCCAGACCTTTTATTTGCCAAATATGTTTCTGTATAAAGACATAGATCGTGTGATGCATGACTAAATAGTGGTATTCTGTCTAAAGTGATTGGCTTTCCATGTGCAATTACTGTGTGGATATCTTTGAAGGTGTCTTTTACGTGAACAAATTTCTCTCTCAGAACAATTAATGCGGTGTCTATTAGGCTTTGATTTCGTGTACATGCAACTGTTCCTTTTGCTAAAAATGATGCTAGCTGTCTGTACACATGGGCTGTGATGTATTTATGGCAGTGGCTTCCTATAAATGAACGGCTGTTGTAGGCCTGTGGTGTGATGTTGTGTTGTTTGAGGATGTTATCAAATTCAGAGCAGGCAGGACTTGACCTTGGAATAAGCTCCTCAAACTCTAACTCTGACAGCTGATCATGTACACTAGAACCCTTCCTCTCAAATCTCTCTGCTTCTTGTGGATTATCCGACAAAATCTGACAAATTCTGTAACAATTGAATGTCCTCCTTGTTTTTTTCCAGCCCTCTTTCATTTTTTTGCCGTAGATATGCACATTTTGTCCTATTCCAGGCGTGCAATTCTCCATAGATTGATGGACCAGCTGTACATCTATATCATGTGCCTGCTGTACATCTATATCATGGTCCAGCTGTACATCTATATCATTTGCAGCCTCCTCAAGAAGGTGATGATGTTTGAGCACAATGCTCACCATATGATCACGTTGAGTGTGGCACTCCATGACAAAAATATTGTTTAAAATGACAACGAAAATCAAATGTAGTAGAGGCAAGAAAACTAAAAACAGCAAGAATGAATGTTCAGAGTGGTGGGTTGGTATTTTTTAAAAATCACAGAAAATCATAGAATAACTTCGTGCATTTGAAACTTGCACATGTAAATGAAAATTGTCACCACAGTTGATACATGAATTTCTGTTTAAATCGTTGGGGGCCGGATTGAAATATCTAAATCCAAACTGAAAAAGTTCTAAACATTGAAGATGCCAGTTTGAAAATCACAGACTTACTTAAATCCATTGTAAAACTGATATAATCGGACTTACAAGAAAACAAGTTATACCGGCCTACAGGTCAAACATAGCACGTTACAATGAAATCTCAATCGGCCTTGTAGCATTTATAGTTTCAGAGTTAAGAGGCTTTCAATTCGCACTAAAACGCCATATTTACTACTGCCCCGGCACAGGAGGAGTGGCGCTGCGGTCACCCCAATTAACCCCTCTGACAAGTGATTTATGACTACGCGCTGGGCTGTAGGGCGGGGCGGGCAGGGTGGTGAGGATGGTCGGGGAGGAACCGGGGAAGGAAAACTAAGTGAGCGGTCTGGACGGTATTTTATCCGCCGTGACTTGTATTGTTCTGCGTGCTGAAAGTTTTATTCGCGAATAAACGAGTGCTCATTTATATATTGTCTGCAAGTAACCCTTTTGTAATGTGCAAAGGAATTGTCGAATCATTTGCTGTATCGGACTGGGGGTGGGCAGAACTTGATTGATACACAAAGAAACTGCATGTGTTTGACGTCTGCTGAGATGCTTTTCCTGGCTGTCTCGTTCATGACATCACATCATATCATGTCACAATGTAGTCCCGCCAGTGTATTGCCACATTATGTGTCGATCCTCAAGAAACAATGCATTTCGAGCATGTTGTGTTAATTCTTTCACCCTGGAGTCTGATGTTGGCATCCTGGATATAAAGAACCACTAGGCCAAGATCTAGAGGTCTATTGAGTGCTTGCTCCGATGACACTACGCATTATTTATATATACAGCCAGCCCTTCATTGGGCCTAGCCTGTCGCACAGCCACTCCTTGTCTATATATGAATTGAGGTCCCAAGCAGCACTTGATGTACCGAACTCAGATCTATACATATTGGGCCCAGAGCGGACGAAGTGAATTGTTTTTAAAACCCACTGCTTGCAGAGCGATCTGCTAATTTTTTTAGCGGACTCTCTGCTCTCATGGGTAATGAATCGGTATAGAGAGCGCTTGTCACATCATAGAGTACACATCATGACTTTCTGGTTGATTATTTCCTTTTATCAATGTAAAGGCCTTTCTAGTCACCTGAAATTTATCTTGCTGATATAAAATTTTATACTATGCATTAGGCCCTACCTGTAATCTTGATCAAAATATATGTGGGTTGGTATTCTTGAAGAAGCTTTGTTTTGCTTAATTAAGCATTGACCCCCCCCTCCTCCCCCTCCCTTTGGAATATCCACAATTTAAAAATACACATTAAGTTGCTATTAGGCTTTGTGTTATATATAATTTAAAACAAGACACATCGAAAGTTAGAAAATTGAATAATTTGTAATGAATATGTTGAAATTCATGTAAAAGAGAAAAAAGTTAACCAAAAAACGTGTTATATATTATTTTTATTATTATAACATATAATGAGGCGCAAAAAAAAACTTTTTTTATATGTTCTTGTAATCGCCGAATGCTGAGTTCAAAGTTGTGTGATATGAACTCATATCTCTCAACACTTGCCTCAAGCGTCTTGATTAGGCATTTTTGGGCGTCGCAAAGATGTCATTGGCTGCATAAGCGATACCCAACTCACGAGTCATCACTCACCACTGGGACACTCTTGTAACATGTTGTGAGTGGTGAGTTTAGGCTCACTCAGTCCTGGGTGTACGCCTATAAAATCTGCGCCTCAAAATGTTGCTTTCATATCGAAACAGACGAGCTACAGAGATGCCAAGGTTATCAAGGGAAAACAGAGAAAGAGCTGTCGGATGACTGGTGGCCGGTGAATCGGTGGAAAAGGTGTCCCAGGTTTTTGGTGTCAACCCAAGCACTATTTGTCACTAGCGATAGCAACCACAGCAGATCGAGCAAGAAGCGGAAGACCAAGGGTCACAAGTCCGGTCCATGATCGTGTCATCGTTCATCAGCACCACTGCGAACCGTTTCTGCCGGCTGCAGAGACTGCCAGAACAACCGTGGGAACGACTGGATGCCAACTTAGCCGCTGGACTGTATCATGGAGGTTAGTGACTGCTGGTCTTCACTGCAGGCGTCCTTACCAGGGAGCTGTCCTAACACCAAGGCATCCACAGCAACGGCTACAGTGGGCACAGGCACATGTTAACTGGCGGAACGCACAGTGGAGGAGAGTCACTCCTCTTCAGCGATGAAAGCAGGTTCTGCGTGGATCCAGCGAATGGCCGTGTCCGTGTGTGGCATAGAGACACAACTCGCTACGACGACAACAACATTCTGGAGCGTGACCCCTTGGGAGGCGAGAGCGTGATGATATGGGGAGCCATGGCGTTGAATCATAGAGTCGGACCTGTCATCTTCCAGAACATTGGTCCAGGACGTGGAAACAGTGTCCTGGCTCAGCGCTACATTGCACAAGTCCTAGCACCTCATGTGTTGCCCTTTCTACAGAGGCATCTTAACTTCCTGTATCAACAAGACGACGCACGACCACATACCACACGTGCTACCCACAACTTCTTGGCGCAGAACAATGTCAGTTTATTGGCACACCGACCTTGTTCACCTGACTTGAACCCTATTAAACATTTGTGGGACGTGATCCAAAGACAGCTTATCCAGATGCAGCCACGGCCTCGAACAGCAGCCCAGTTGACTGCAGCCATCATTCAGATCTTCGGTGGCATCCAAAATGACCAGATCAACAGTTTGATTAACTCTATGAACAGAAGATGCCTCTCTGTAATCGCTGCACGTGGAGGCCATGCGCGTTACTAAGTTTGCTCACCAAGGTCAAGGTCAACGTGAGCTCAGATGAATTTGTTGGACCATCAGTTCATGTCAGCTATATTACTCTAGAAGTGTGCAAAGTCTCAGTTAATAAACACAACAAATAATTTGAAACCTATGTGTTGCATTTTGTCAATCATTGTGTTGTAATAAAATTCCCCTTTTTTTTTTTTGCACCTCAGTATATATATATATGCTATATCTGAAATAGATACGGGAGTGAAAGCAATATATTATGATAAGATTAATGTCATCATTTTAAAAAGATATGCTTCAAGCTACAAGCAGGCATTAGCCACGAAAATTTTCAGAAAAGAATGAAGATTTGGTATAATTTGAGGATACAGAGCTGCATTAATGGCAAGCTGATATTTATGTCAATTAATATAAATGAAAACAAAAACAACAATAATGCAGCACAGTCAATAGACTTGCCAACTTCTAGAGTTAATTCTTTGTCTATGTAAGAAGATGGCCTGATTCACCATAATATTCAAGTCAAAGAGTTAAACTTATTTGAAATATTGTGCAATTAATTGTAATAGTGTATGATATATCATATTTGATCAGTTCTTATTTCTCTGGTCTCTATTTGATTTTTATAATGAACCTTTTCACCCTGTTTTACTGTCCTCAGTTGCTAATGTATGAGTGGTCTCAGAGCTGCTTGACAATGGCCTGTGATTTGAACCCGGTGGCAATCATATTGGTGACTTCAGGTACACGTGGCAACAGGTTGTTGTTCAGATATCCTTACTGCCAAGAACAAGAAACCAAACCAAAGCCTAAAAAGAAAACAAACTGTGGACAAAACCCGTATGCTCTGAAAATTGCAGAAAATCTTCAGGATGTGAAAAAAGAAAAGTCATCGATCACTTCCTTTGTAAAGGATGGAGTCCTTACAAATTTCTCTAACAATACATTGGCGAACATTTTAATTGTGAAATCAGACTTGTGTGGAAAAAAATTCAGTGTTGAGATAGACGATGTGAGATTTGTTGGCTTTCCGATATCTCTGCAACATTTATCCCGTGACTCAGGCCTTCAGGGCTCTCAGAGCTCCAGTTCAAGACAGCACTTCATACTGTCGGTGAACGTTGTCTTTGTGCTGAGGGTGAGGATGCCGGAGTCAGTGGTTAGCTGCTATCAAGAGCTAGCACAGCAGCTTGCAGTTGCCATCGCCCATGAAGAAAAGAGATGTCAGTACCTAAACAGAGAGGCAAAGGTAAATTTCTGCTAGGCTTTCATAATTATCATTTTTATTATTGTGCTATCGCTATAACACTGATCTGGTAGCATACATTAGGAAGAAGTGTTTCATTTTTCATACGTCTTTTATTTTATGAGCATAAATGGCGTGAATTTGTGATTGATTATTTTCCTTTATCAAATGTGTTTGAATAATCCTTGTCCACTTTACACTTCTTCGCATTGGAGGTTGGTGGGTGTTCTCATGTGGTTTACTCCTTCTTTCCTGTTGAACTTCTATCATTCTTATCTCTCCTTTTTTGTGTTGTTATTTGCTTTTAACACCTCTAATCTTCAGCCCTTATATGACATAATTTTGTTGTAAGTGCCGTAAAACATTAAAACTAAACCACATTTCTTCTTCTGTGTGAAGATCATGGTGCTTGCATTTGAAGAAGCATCGGTGTCCGGGGATAACGACATGGTGTCCCCTCTCCGACAAATCATCGACCGCAGTCGCCTGGGTGGGGAGCTCAAGTCCGTGTTTGACAGCCTGGCACAGTCAGGCCAGGTTCTCTTCTACCTCAACCAGTGGGTGGAGATCAACTTTTGCCTGCCTCACAAAATTCACGCCATGCACACACCCGGCAGAGTGATACAGCTGGAGTCCATTTACAGGTTGGTAAATTTTTCTAAAAGGGTCATATAAAACTAGCTGCCTGTGTGCCTTTAGTATGGCTACTGTGACGGCTGCATATATGGCCTCACATTATAACAAGATTAATACTTGAAAAGAAGACTAAAACACACAGCCGCTCTCTTGCCTACCTGCCGGTGAACTGATTTTATTGTTGTTAATTTACACTGAAATCTCGTGTGAATTCAAACGAGACAATGTGTGACGTATCAAGAAGAAGAAATAATTGTGATATTAAAGAATCTATCTTTCAACTTTTGCAACATAGTTCATTCCCATTTTTACATAACATAGCTTCATCCATACATTACAGCTACTAAGAGTTTAGGGCTTAGACAATTATGTATTGCTTCAAATTTCCACTATAGATGCGACTAATTGATGAAACCTTTTGGAAAATATCTCGTAAACAAAAATTTTAAAAGATTAATTCAGCTTTTTTAAAATCTCGGAGGTAAATTTGATTTAGTGGCGTATATGAATACGCAAATACATTAATACGTAAATGCATGAATGATACATATTTCACGAACACGGACAATCCTCACACCGTTGCTGGTTGCCAATATTAACAGTCTTATTTTATTATGTATGATTATCATATTATTATGTTGCTCAGGCACACACCCCAGAGATCACCCATTTAAATGCCATGTCGCAGACGCATGCTTGACATTATTGTGAGCTGGAGCTCAATAACCACTCAGTTACTGCTGCCCCCCAACTACTGCTTTGGGGATTCCTATTTGCTCCTATCCACACAGTTTTGAACCTATACTTACTTAACAGCAGCTGACCATATTTTAAAAAAATTGTAATTGGAAAGCAATGGTTCTATTCTGGAGTATTCTATAGGATACATAAGGATCAAAACCTACAGTTTTATAAATTGTTAAGCTCAAAATCATGAAAATCCGACTGCACCATGTTCTTAGGAATGTTGAATGCTTCCTTTGTTTTAATTTAGAGGCCTGAAGAGTGTGTAGTCTCTTCTAAAAGCTGATGCAAATGTCGGCACCACCAGAATTATATAATTGGATACCACTTTGTTTGTCTTTTTTTCTGAATATATTGTGTTCTGGTGTACACGTACAAAGGCATATTAATGAACCTAAAACAATTTGTGCAGCATCCCAGTGAAATCAGGCGCTTGGTGAAATAATGAAATAGAAAGAAGCTGCATTTTTCTTCCCGTTTGACAATTTTTTAATCAGATTTTTATTTTTTGGCTCAACACTTTTTATATCTATTTTAAAACACATTGCTGTGTGGCTTTTACTGAAAAACGTAAAAAGAAACCAAAAAAAAAATGTTAATCTACAGTTTCCAAGGACTCTCAATCTTTAGAAGTCACCAAACTTCGGTGGCCATTTTCTCTCTAATTTTACCTCTGAAAACAGGTGACCCCTACTTCCTTCAAATACAAATAGCTTGACTTCTGTTCAAGATAGATGGACATTTTTTTCAACGAAAGCAAGACAATTGAACAAGCTTTAACTGTAACTACCAATAACTTCATTTGCCCAAAAATGACGAGTGTCTGATTCCACCACGTTATGACACATACATACAAGGGGACAGCAAGTCATCAAACCCTTACAATCGCTTCATTGCTTTTTGTCACAGTGTGATACCTAGTTTTCTGAGATGGGGTTTAAACATCTTGTGCAAGGACATATCTGCAGTGCAGTACACAGCTTTTGAGAAAAATAAGGCGGACGAGAGACTATCATATCGTAAGAGGCGACTAAATTGCAACATAGATGGTGCCCAGATCTAACTGGGAACAAGATCTGGAGGCAAATCTCAGGCACATGAGGCACAGCTGGCTGATAGTAGAGAACATCGCCCAGAATAGAAATAGATGTGCCCTTCTTATCAGCCTTTACCAATACCAGGATGAAGGAGGCAGATAGTGATGATGATAACAAGGATGCAGCTGAGTGACCGTCCATCTAGTGATTATTGTCACTTAACTTTGCTCGGAACTCTTATGGGACTATTTCACTCACCGTAAGACCATTTGGGTTTGTTTATCCCTGAACCATCCATGGAAGGGGTGGTTTGGGGAGATGGGTGGTTATACTGCATGAATATTGTTTTTATTGGGAATTGTAAGTGAGATATTGAAAGTTGTGAGTAACTAAAACTGGAATGCCACCTATTTATATTATCATAGCTTGACTGCATTCATGCAACAGTTTTGTGAAATGCAGAGTTACTATCTCAAAGTTTGGAGTGGTTGGTGAGTGCTCTGGTGTGGTTTGCAGTCATCCTTTGCTATCTTCCTTTTTTATGTTTGTTATTCACTTGTGTCTCTAGTATTTGGCACTTTATATAACCAAAAGTGTTGCAGTTACAAGTGCAATAAAACCTCTACCAAACCTGTTACCTGTCTCAAATGTTCGTGGAGAAATTGTCAATGTCGAAATGATATTTTCCACAGATACCTTTCTTCTGTGAGGCCTTATCATGGCATACTTCTCACCAAGACAGAGAAAGAGGTCTTAAACTTTTTACCTCTGGATGCCAGTCCCTGCCTTATTCGGCTCATCAAGCTGACAACTCCCATCAAGAATTTGAAGACTTTGGCTTTAGAGACAGATCTCAGCATCACCCAGGTTGGAAGTGGTCCCAGTTGTGTGGTGCAGTGAATATGTTGTTGGCAAACTGTTCAGCTGTTCTAAGCCCAGAGAGCAACATTTTTTAAGGAGAGAGAAAGACCATATCTTTCTTTTAAAAATTGTACCTAAATTATATATCTTTTCTTGCTTTTTTTTTCCACATTTAGAATTTAAATTTCAACAAAATATTCCTTGAGTACTTGCAATTGATACAAAAGATTGAGAAACTGCAATACAAGGATTTTCCACAATTTTGGATTTAGTACATCTGAACAGGTGCCTGATGATATGGGTGTATTTCAACTTCTCTGTTTATTACTTTTTATGACTTTGCTGCTTTTTCTGATCTTATTATTAGAGTATCTTGTCATCTTTAATATTTAGCGAAGGGTACTTAAACTCATATTACTCGAGGGCAGCTGGGATTTAAGTATGGATGAGTCTGGGCCTCATCAAATATTCTGCATACCGGCGGTACCCAAGAAACAGTTTCAAGTGTTTTTTAAAAGGTACAAAACTGAAATTGTGTTTAAAACTTGTCAACAAACACCACTAGAGGTGGTCACGAGCCTGAGCCACGGTAGCCCAAAGAGAATAAATACACACTAAAAAAATCCAAGGTAACACCTGCAGGACTCATTTGGCTGTGAGTTTTGAGGCCTCTTATTAAACGTGAGGTCTACATTTTAAAAGTGCTGTGACAAGCCAGCTTACATTTGACATATTAAGGTGAGGCATCGTGATGAAATCAGACGCTTTTCAAAATAATGACAGAAGAAAGTGGCACTTTTTTGTCCGTTTGGCAATTTTTATTGAATTTTTATTTTTTGACCTAGGGGGTTAGTGTAAAAACATATTTCTGTGTGGATTTTACTGAGAAAAAAAATGTTTGTTTAAGGCACTAAAATGTAAATTTGCAGTTTCTAAGAACTCTCAAGTTTTGGAAGTGGCCAAACTTTGGTGGCCCTTTTCTCTCTTATTTTACTTCTGAAGCAAGTTGACCCCCACTTCCTTCAACCGGAAATCTCTAGACTTCTGTTTATGATAGATGGTATTTTTTTCACCAAAAGCAAGACAAATGAATTAGCTTTAAAATGATACCAATAACCCCACATGTCGAAAATTTGACGAACCTCTGATTCCACCGTATTTTGACACATATAGAGTGGAAGACCCTGTCTTAAGTGACATTTCAAAATAGCGTATGGCGGAATCTTACACCAAGCAGTCGATATTCTCACTCTCATTTCTCAGGTATGTCAAATATATTTTTTTATAGGTTTTCTTTGTTCAGTTGACTTACCTTTTGATTAATTTTTAAAAAATCTAACACTCTGTTCTGGGCGTGCAACTGAACTCTTGACGTGACATTGCAAGTTGCAACAAGGCAGCATGGTTTTATTCCCTCTTTAGACAAATACAGTAACAAATAATGTTCCAGTGCGTTTACAATCTGGTGAACATGTGAATTTCTATCTGGTTCGGTTTTTCCATATTTCTGGTTTTGTTTTTTCTTTAACGATCACAAAAGATTGCAGAGACTACTGACAATTATGGAGATATAGTTGCTATGAGCGGGTCTTGTCATAAGAGATTTTTTTTCCATTAATTGAATGTACATGCTCAGTCTGAGGAAGGGATGGTGGAAAACTTTTGTAGAAAAGGACAATAAGGATTTTGAGGCTGACTTGTTGCTGAAATGACTGGTTGTGTGGCTATTTTGGAGAGAAGCCACATTAATGGATTAGAGAAAAGTATAGGAAAAACACAAGGGTGCCCAGGTACTGTGGCTGTTAGTACAGATGACCACTGTGGAGAAGTGACTTCTAAGGCAAGTTTGACTGTATTTAACCCTTTGAGCCCTTGCCACCAGTACACCGGTGGTGCTTAAAACTGCCCGTGTGCCTAGCCACAGGTACAGCGATGAACGAGACCCGAGGCGCTAAACTAAAGTATATAGAAAACGTATATTTACCACCTCGACGAGACCCCACCCCCAACCCGGCCCGCCTGAGACAAAATACATAGGGTAAACGGTGTTTACTACACAAGACATTATTGATTATTTTGAAGATCTTTCTGAGAATATGGAATGTGATGCTGATGATCGTATGAATGTTAGTAATATATCATTCGGGAGCTCAGGCTCAGTAGCCTCAGTAGATCAGGGCTCGGAGGTTTAATGAATCCCTTGACAATGGGCTATGAGTATGAGTATGTCAATAAGTTCAGGGTGTCTTGGTTTTCTTGTAGTTTTTAAAGATAAATTAGTCATTCAGATCGTACATTTTTTTTCATTGTTAAAACCATGTGGACGCAATTAATTTGTTTCACTGTGAATCAGTTTGAGGGTATGGAAATAAAAGGGAACAAAATAGTCCGCAAACCGGAAAATTTCATTTCAGAAAGTTTTACTGTCATATTTTAGATGTTCACTGAAGCTACAAAAGCAATATATTGGGGATAATGAAACAAATGACCTTTTCAATTGCCGATATATCAGAGATACGTCCGAATATGTTCCCCGAAAGATACCAGTGTGTGGGCAATATGGATGAGAAGCAATCAAAGAAGAAACTTATTTGTTCCCAATCTCTATCCTCAGATTTACCAGCTGGTGTGCCACATGATCTATTGGGGGTTCGCCATGCTGATCTACCCTTTGTGTCAGTCCAACCTGTATGTCTTGTCAGCTTCAGCCAATACTGCAGTGAGTCTGGGTCATGTATATCATTGTCTGGTGTCAAAATACAAGGTTTTCTGGAGAAGCCAAAAAATCTGTTTTATTTAGGGCAGGACATTGCGGGAATGCGAAATGTTTCTTTCAACGAAATCTGTTGTATTAAAAATCTGTTTGATGATTAAAAAGGAATACACCAAAATCATTTCAAAAACGAAAAACAATGGGAAACTCTAGCTTGGACACATGAGTTGTACATGCCTTCAAGTTTAAATTTCATGTTTTCCAAGTGCTCAATGTGGCTGCCACAAGCAGCACCGGAGACTTCCTCCCAAGCGTGCCTCAGGATGTCTCGGTCTACTGTGTTGATTGTTTTCATTATATAAGCTCAAACCCCAAGATGCCAATGGGGTGGTGCCTCATCTTGTAGAAAATTGAAGTCATTCGAATCTGCTTGCAGTAAAGTGAATAGCCAGTTTTTATATGGGGTATGTTAAGGACTCTACTTTACTTTACTTTTCCGATCCATCGGCCATTTGGGTTCTAGCCCTTCGGTCTGTTGATATGGCAAAAAGTTTGCAGGTTTTAATCAGCTGTGCTTTGTCGCTGTATAGAGTATTTCCGATGTCTGGGGAGGCAGGTAGGTAGGTGCTACGCAGGTCACAAAGTGCTGGGCAGTTAAAGAGGTGGTGTGGTACTGTTGCATCCAGGCAGTCGCACAACGGGCAGTCGTGTGGGGTATCCTTGCGAATTAAAGACAAAATGTATGTTCCACCCCTTCCAGCAAATATGGATGACACGAAAGTTCGAATAACAGCTACAATCAACACAGTAGACCGAGACACCCTGAGGCGTGTTTGGGAAGAATTCTCATATCAGCTTGATGTTTTCCATGCTGCCGGAGGTAGCCACATTGAGAGTCAAAATTCTGATATAAATTTTATTGACTGCTTATTGAAAGACTACCATATGCCATTTGAAAAGTGACGAATGGCAGAGTTTTCCATTGAGCAGTCGATATGTTCATCAGATATGTTGCATCAACTTTTTCATGGCATGCCACGTCATCTATGTTTGTCGATTTTGCATTAATGACCACACTTCATAACGAAAAAATGAAAGTTTATTCTTTTTATTTACCCATTTTAAATCAAATGTAATAAATGTATTTGACTGATTACCATACCCTCACAGTTTGTTCCCTTGGTCAGCTTCCTCTGGGTTTTTGGGGATGAATTTCATATGTCATGGTTAAGATGCAGGGCAAATTTGTACCCTGATTTTTAGGTTAAAAAGTTGCGTCCAATTTGTGATGATATAACAGTATATTCTAACAAACAAACAGAACGCATCTTATCTCATCTGACATGTTCTCCAGGCCCACTCAGACCTCAGCAAGGAGTTCTCCCTGCACTTCCCCGGCCTGCACCTGCACGAGGAGATGTCCAGATTCAGCTTCCCATCTCCGATGCATGACGCGTGCGACATAATGGCCTACCCGAGTCCGGGACTGCTGGACAGGCTCAACCAGGTGACGCTGATCTTTCTTTTGTCAATGGCGTTTCTTTTTTATTTGGGGGGGGGGGGGGGGGGTGGTTTGTTTGTTTGGTAAGTGTTTTACAGCCCTCACAACTGCATAAGGTCATATGAGCCCAAATTGCGCTCAAGACCTCCAAGATTTTTTCGCCTTTGTCTGAGAAGGCTTGGTGTTAGAGTCAGGAGCCTAGAGAAGGGGTCAAAGGGGAGGGAGGGAGGGGGCAGAAAGTAGAGAAGAAAGGAGAAGACAGAACATGGTTAGAGAGAAGGAAAGAAGGTGAAAGGATACAATTTTAGAGAAGAAAGTTTTCCATGGCTCTCTGTTTGCGAATGCAGGACCTATTGAATGAAAGGCAAATACCTTACCTCTAGACCATGAGAGACCATGTTGGTGTTTTGGTCTAACTGTGTCTCTTATCGTCACGGCAGTGTTCGTTGGCTGGTGCCTTACTCCACGCCACAACAGGCCTCTATCTTCCGCGATCTCTGCTTTGATGTTTTATTTCATGAAGTTGTAGAGTAGACCTCTGTTGGATTTTAAGTTTTCATTGTAATGATGTAGAAGGTCTTCCCTTTTTTTCTCTTTACCTCTAAAGGCTTTTTTGCCCCGCTCCACAATTCTGCCGTGAGCTGACAAAATGTCTTTTTTCTTTAGAGCAGTTTTGAGAAAAAGAGGCTTTTTGTCAGCGTTATCATTTAAAAATAGTCATTCTGAAATTTGAATTTGAATTTATTCATAAACTAGTCACAGTTTGAATTTGATTTTTTCACACAAGTAATATAACTGATCAGGCTTTCGATTAAGCAGATAAAAAATGTTGGCACCAAAATGAAAAAAAAGACGTTTTGTCAGCTTACGACAGAGTTGTCATCAGGTCCCTTTTTTATGTTTCTGTTTTCTTTCCGATGGAATTTGAGTCTCCTTTTTCTGTATGTGGAAGAAATCCTTCAACTATTGTTTGCTTTAAAATGATTCGAGAGGTCGACTGGGGGTCTTTAGTAAAAGGCAAGAGTCAGCATGCAGTGTAAAAGTATGTTGGCTAACTTTTGTGTCTACTCTCATCATTTAAGTCAAATCCTTTTTTTTTTTTTACTTGTCAACAAATTTCCCAGAAGCCAGTAACATGGTTAGAGACAAGATGACACTGTCCTTATGTTTAATTTGACTTAACACCTTGTCGATTGCTTCTCAGTTATGTCAAGTCCATCTTGTTTGTTTTGTGATTCGATGCACTATTACTTTCTTATTTGTGATTTCTAGAAGATAGGGAGCTCTCATGAACTAGAGAGATACTATGTTTTCCTCTCATTCAGAAGGTCCCAGGATCGAAACCTGACTGCAATGAAAAAAATTTCTTCTCTTAAATGCTCTCCTTTCACCTCCTTTCCTGTTCTCTAGTCGTGTTCATTACCACAGAAAATATCCCCATCACAGCTGTAAATAGATTGGCAAATCCTTTCACCTTCCTTGATTTCGAGCTGACTATGTCTCTCCTTTGGAGCAATATATCAAGGAAGTTAAGATCTGAAGGGAAGGGAGTAGTACTTGGGTAATCTACTTCCACTATGTCTACCTCCCAGGCAAAGCTGTATCATACATACTGCTTTAAGCTCGCCTGTCAAAGACGCATAAGGCTGTTGAAGTATTTTATGTCTGTCTGTCTTGCTTTTCCCTGCCTTAAATAGCCTTTGTTGTGGTGAAGTGTTTCTCCCAGACCTCTCAGCTACTGGATAATTTTCCCCCCAGGTGGTGGTTTGGATGCTTCAGCACCGCCTCCTGAACCAGCTGCACACCTACGTCAACCTGACCACAGCCCGGAAGAAGGAGCCAAGCTCTCTCACCAGCCACTCCATGTCGTCCACGCTCTCCTCCAACTCCAGCGTCCAGGTTAGGTTTTGTCCAACTTAGGTTGGATGTAGATTCTAAACCTTTTAAAATCTTTAGAAACTGCTCTCTAGGATTTTAATATTGATAATTTTAAGAAATTCTCTAGAACACAGCAAACAGGTGTTTACAAGAAATTGATCTACTAAAGCAAACTTGTGTAGGTCATTGTGCAAAAGTTGGAGATGTAATGTGTCACAGTTGAGATATTTATCAATAAGTTGCTCCACTAATTTTTTACTGCACTATAAAACCCCATCATACCACAAGCCATGCTGTACCACCAACTTCATGTATGTTGCAAGATTGGCGATACAAATGGGTTTGACGGTGAATAGGAGGGCCTATAACAGTTGGCCTGCAGAGTTGTGTGTTGGTGGAAGAGAGATTATTGCATTACAGCTACAGAATGGGTACCGTGTGATGAATAAAGTGTGTGTCTTTGGCAGCCACTTTACTGATGGTGTTACGAGGTGATATAGCATTTGCTTAATCAGGACACTTTTTCTCAGGAAGTTGATGGCTTGCTGTTCCAAGGGGCAAGTAGTATGTTTATCTATAGCATTTCTTTTTGTGCGCTGAGAAAACCTGGCGATAAATGGGTATGGTGGAATAATGGGATTTGACTGTGTCCTGTGTGTTGCTTTATTCTGTACCCTGCTTTTGCTGTTTAATAACCTGGACAAAATGCCACAGACTGGCATTTATGGTCTATTAGATAAGCTCTTTGCAATCACTCATAGAATATTTATTCCTGAGTTTAAAAGTTTTCCGTCGAACAACTCCCTCTATCTGCTGGGATGCTGTATCAAGGGTGGTCCCTGACAGGCAAGGTGAAAGAGGCATACTTCGTAAATGAACTTAATCAGTGCTTGTCTAGGTGATATCACCTGCTAATGGGTGATTTGGTAATTTTGGTGGGCGGTGGGGATCACACAAGTAGTGACAGGTACTATTCAATGCCCTGCTTGGAAATACATGTTGGTCTGCAGTATGAAAATTTTAGGCCCTTAAATGTGACAAAAGTGGGCACTGGCTGTAAAAAGGTTGACAACCACTGGTCATAAGTGTGTCGACGGAATCATAAGACACTTAAGATGATTACAATAAAAAATGCCTGAAAATCAATCTTCTTTCTTCTTCTTCTCGATCGCATCACACTTGAAGTCTGGTATCTGTCATATATCGGGCCGTCCTGCTCAGTTCATCTGTCGGCCCTTACAGCTTCTCTTGTAGTGTCAGTGGGGTTGGCCACGTTTCCTGTCTCGGGGCCCTGTGTGTTTTGCAGTGCTGAAGGATGTGTTCTACTGTTTGGTCTGCCTCTCCACAGTGGCATTTTGGTGATTGTACTAGTTTATAACATCTGTACATATGTTGTCTCAGTCTTGTGTGTTGTGTTCTTAGTTGGAAGATAATCACTTGCTCTTGGCGGGACAGCTCATGGTAGCTATCTAGAGTCTGTGGTGCTTTAAAAAGTGTATTTTCTGTGTAGTTGACTCTGTTGTCTGGCCAGGCAGTAGATAAATTGAGTCCTCTTGTTTGGTTCATCAGGTGGTAGAGGAGTCATACCTGTCTGTCCTGATGGAGGACCCGAGAGCCTCGACCTTAGACCGCACGGCCAGCATGTCCGACATCGCCAGTGTGAACAGTGAGGAGAGTTGTGGCCACTCGGCCGCCAACTACGCCAGCCAGCTGTCCAAGTCGCCCTCACAAGAAGCCAACAGTGACTGCTCCGTTGTGGCAGAAGAAACAAAGGCGCAGTGGAGAGTGCAGGTTGGTTATGAGTCTTGTTTGGTTTGAAAAAAATTGAAAATTGTTAAATGAAAATGGCTTTAAAACGTTGACTGCTTTTTTTTGTTGGTTTCAGAAATGATTCTTACAATGGTTTTTGGTTTTTTTTGTCTCTGAAGCAAAATATTATCTAAGCCTCCTGGGTTGCTTCTGAACCATGCCAGATTAGAATATATATAGGAAATAAATTGAGGAAAGAGATTTTAGATGTGTATGTTTGTTCATCAGTTTTCAGAAATCATTTTTGCAATGGTTTGTTTTAAACTTCTGGGATTGTTTGAGGCCACTTTGTTCATAGAAATGTGAAGAAAATGTCGATTCTGCGTAGATTGATACTGATAAATGCACCATTTTTAGGTCACTAAGAACAGCATCTTCTTTATAAGCTAGGGTTGACTTTTCTTGTTTTAAGATACCCCTCAGTTATCGCCGTCTAATTTCTACTGTTACTTGATATTGCTTGATGTGCTTACTTACAAAGTTCTCTAACAGCTCCATGTAAGGGGCTCCTTTAGAAGTTAAATAATGTAGAAAGTATTAGAGTAAAGTAGACAAGATTTTTTGTTAAAAAAATACAGTCTCCTGTTTTTGTATTTAACATGCTTTTTTACGCTTTGTTTTACATCGTAAAGCAAAAATAAAGCGTCATTCCAAAGGTCAGCTTAAAGTTTGAATAGCCAGAAGCATCCGTGACATCCGTGAGAGGAAATAAAGGCACAGCGAAGCATTCGTGTTGATGTGAGACTGGTTCGGTCAAGTTAAGCCTCAGCCCATGCTACGTTTTCCCTTCCCTGCACTGATACATGCCTCTGCATAAAGGGGTAACATTTTAAGACTTCTTCATGAGGGCAGGGGTACACTTGCCTTTTCCAGAGGTACTCTTGGTATTTACGTGGCTTCAATTTTTAAGTCTCTTATGTAAATTGTGTGTGCTTTATGTGATGTGAGCCAATGGCCTTACTCAAACACTGAATAAGATACCTACGTGTCTACCTCCTCCCAGGACACACTTCTGAATGAGCTGAAACCGCAGATCAAGGCGGCCATCCTCCGCTGTCCAGCCTCGCGGAACCCCGATGACCTGCATCTTTTCGCAAAGCTCTGTCCATATTTCAATGGGAAACACCACTTAGAGGAGATGATGTTTTACGAGAACTTGAGACGGACACTGCTCAACGCACTGCTGGATAAGTTTAAAGAGGTGCTGATATTTTGTAGTCATGAGGATCCTGCTACTTCCTTGTTGTGATATTTGTCAGGTCTGTGAGATCTGTGTGTAAATACCAGAGACAGCGTAACTCTTTCTGGATGTAACTTTTAGTTTTATGGGCAATGTGTGAAAACGTGTCCCTGTTGTCCTTGTTATGGAGGCACATTCAGAAAAGTTGAAGACGAATTCAAAATGTGACGGGTCAATTCATCATTGCTAATGCATTTATTGTGGTTTTTACAGAAAATTAGTTTAAATACATTTTGTATTGATCTACAACCTTGCTGATGTGACAGCTTGCTAAAACAGAGGACTGTGGTTTGAGTGACTCAAGCTCAGTTCAGATGCTGAACCAAGGTTGTTGTGAGAGAGATTTTGATAGGTATCATGTGTTCATCCATACATCCTCAGTTATCTCCAAATATGTGAGGCACTGTAGTGAAATCAGGCACTCGTCTAAATAATGAAAGGGAAGAAACTGGCCTTTTCTGCAGGTTTAGGAATTTTTATTGGAATTTAGTTTTTTGGCTCAACACCTTTCATGCCATGTAAAGAACACATTTCTATGTGGATTTTACTGAAAAACATTGATTAAAGGCATAAAAGATGTACATTTTCAGTTTCCGCGGACTCTCGAGCTTAGGAATTAACGCAAATTTGGCAGCCATTTTCTCACAAATTTACCTCTGAAACTAGGTGACCCCCACCTCCTTCAATTTCCAATATCTTGACTTGTGTCCAAGATAAATGAATATTTTTTCCATCAAAAGCAAGGCAAATGGACAGGCTTTGAAATGATACCAATAACTCCATATGCCCCAAAATTGATGAGCGCCTGATTCCACTGCGTCGTGACACATATATATGGTTTATACTCAAAACTTCAGAAGAAAAGTTCAACTCAAACTTTTTGAAAAAGTTTTGGGGGTATAAGTAAAGTTGATAACATTCTTTTTTGGAATCAATCACTGAAAGTCTATACGTGATATGATTCATATTATATTTGCATTCGTTTTCTGTACCGTTTAACTCTTTTTCTCCGAGTGGGGTATACCCACTAAGCCAAGGCCCTTTTTTGGTACTAAATCTAAAAGTGACAAAAAACGTCACTAAATGAGTCAGTCATTAAATCAAAACTAGCAAACCTATTGTGATAGTGTTATATCTAATGAATGAACTTCCAGTAAAAGAAACCTGTTTTCGGCACTTGCCGAAAAGTAATTAAATTTGATGTCGAAGTCATTGTAAAGGAATGTGCCCGAGCCACTGTCAGCAGCTCACCGGCACAGCAGTTCCGGCCGTGGCTTGCGGAGATAAAGAGTTAAAAGTGTGGGCAAAGTCTGCCCAAAAGTAATTATAAGAGTTTAAATGATTTTGAACATAAAAGGTTATTGTGTGAGTGCATTTTAGATATGTATGAAAACCTGAAATGTGGAGATTGATGAAACCTTTTGATCTAAAAAATTCTAGATGAAATCACTTCTCTACTTTTTGCTGGCACATTTCAGTTTATTAGGAAGGGTTGTATGTGGTGTGTGTATGTGTGGTTGACCTGCATGATGTGCTTCTGAAGAGTAAATAAAATACATGAAGTTCATGATGTTGTTTCTCTAGTCTTTATTATTCTCTTATGACATCTGATGCAGCTGACTGGTGTAGTGGTTAGGTGCTTTGTATTCACACACAGTAAAGGTGAGTTTGATTCTTGCATGGAGACTATTTCTATCGAGTTTCTCCGTCTTCCTGTTGGGATGTTGTATCTCTTTGGACCCGCATTGAAGCAGCCTGCATTCTTAATCAACTACATAATGCTGATGGGGGTATAAAACATCTGCAAGTATATGATGCAGTTGACTAAATGTGTGTGTGTGTGTGTGGAGAAAGGTCCCAGTTGTCGGCAAAGCTGTTTTTGAGCAACAGGGTTAAAAGGCTAAAGAGTCGTACTGGTAAAAAATTTAGTTCCATCAGAAAACGCATTTTTAATCATTTATTAATCATATTGAAAGGATTCTTTCTAAATATGTTTTAATTAGTTATTTTTGCAGCATGTTAAAAATGTGCTAGAAATGGGTTTTTCTCCATCCAAACTTTGTTTTTGCGCCCTGTGATACAAAATGTGGCATATCATTTAAAAGTACTCAAGATATTTGAAATTTTTGAAAATCAGCGTGTTCAGCATTGAATTTGGTACAAGAATTAAGAATGTGCCTTTATTTCAATATCCAAAATTTTCGACAACTTGGACTTTTCTCCAGGCACACATACAAATGTTACAGATTGTTCTTAATGCCATTTTCAACAGTGTGGGGATATTTTAAAAGTTGGACTGCTGAATTAAATCTGAAATGATTGAGCTACGTAGGAGGTGAGCCTGAAAAAATTTCCAAGCAAGTTAATAAAATAAGTAGGCGACCAGTGGGGGTTTAGAACCAGGGTAACATAGATTGTAAAGTGCATAGAGCTTGCTGTTGAGTGGGAATTTGCACTATACAAAGCTATCTATTATTATTCATCGGCAACTTAGATCAGCATGATACCTTCTGAGCCAACATATGCTGTCAAATGATAGAGTAGCTTTGAATTAAGTGTGAGAAGTATTGTTGAAATTGTCTAAGATTACTACCCATCATCTTAGACAGGTGGCTGTCTTATGTAGGACTGATCAAAGTGAAGAAAAACCATTCTCTCTGAATTACCAATGGAGATGGTTGCAGGCTTAGGACTAGGCCCTTTAAAATGTTACTGACTGGTCAACTTGGGTAAACTGTGGGAGGGACTAGACACCTTACCTTCACATGCAGGTCAGCGATTGGTCCATTCATCATAGAACGACAACAATAACGGCAGATGAATGTATTATTACAGCTTGTCCACAACGTTGACCTGACCTGAAGGTGTCATCTTTGGCTCAGACGTTAATGTATAATGATCCTTCAGTGCTCATAGTCCCCACCAGCTGATTTTCATACTGCCATACTCAGGCCAGTCCATGTCTTGATGTTGTCCGTTCATGTTGCTCTTTGTTCACCCCTAGCCCTCTGGTTTCACATCTTGCCTTCAAGTTCAAGCACTTCCTTTCATAATGGTCTGGAGGCGAATTTTGTTTAACATGACCAAACTTTTGTATATTTCTACTTTTCTTAATGTTAAGCAGTTTGTCGAGTGGAGAATCTGACACACCTCACTGTAAGTCTTTTTTTTACTTTCCAGCTAATTCTGGCCTTTCTGAGTTAAAACCACATCATAAACGCAACTATAAAATATTTTTTTTCTTTTTTTGTTAAAAGTCCAGGTTTCGGAGCCATATAGGAATAGGGGGAAGATGTAGCAACACTCCACCATTTTCTTTCTTTAAGTTTATTAAGGTAGAGATAAATGCCTGGATGAAAATATATGTTTGTGAATTTTGTTGGATCTTGCTGTTGCATTTGCCATTCTTATATTTCTGTTTTTTTATCTGCCATGGTCAGTGATTGTTGTCCCGAGATGTTTGAATTAATGAACGTGTGTAGGCTAATTCTTTCCCCATCTATGATGATGTCTGTTGTCCACTGCGTTATCGGCTGGTAAATAATTTATGGCAGCAAGCTGGGTGATGACAGATTGGTGGGGCCATCTTGGACTGGTTTTAAGGTTGTTGGTTGATAAATGGCCGTGGTCACATTTGACAGGCAATCGTTATGGCAGAGCCATTGTATTAGAAAAAAAACACAAGGGAGAAATGGAAAATGGCAATTTGTACCAGGCCTGTCTTGCACAGGTGGTCGTCTAGGTAGATTTGGCTGTACAGGTATTTCCTCCTCCTTTCTTTTTCGCACTAAATCCAAGCGTTTGTTTTAGTAAGGTTTTACTGCGCTCGCAACTGCATAAGGTCATATGAGCGCCAAGGGGTGGATGTCAAAAGAGAAGTCCAAACAGGGAATCAAGCTAACTCTGCTCACCTCTCTAGCCTCAACAGCACAAAGTCTGCTTCGACTATCAAGGCAACCCGAAATAGCAGTTCACAAGAGAGTGACAAACATTCAAAAGTAGAGGAAAAATGACAGTAAGGATGAGGAAAGAAAAAGCACCAGTTCCCCATATGTTGTTCCGGCACAGTATGAGCATGACATTGATAAATCAGCCCATTTACAATTCTACAGCGCATAAGAACATGTCAATGTCCCCCCTTTGGAGATGGCCTGAAGACACTTTAGCCAGTATCACTGCCCTCGGGGGGCGGCAATCCAAGCATGAATTGATACCCAGCAATTGACAGCGCAAGGTCTTGTCAGTATGTTAGTGTTTTAGTTTTAGTGCCTGTAAAATGGCAGTTTACACTATGCTTCCCAGGAAGTTGAGGTCGTTTCCAAATGCTATCACAACAGGTCTGCCAGGATAATATTAAAGGTTGAAAAGTGTACAGAGCCTGCTCTTGAGAGGGATATTATTATTATGTTCCTATGAATTTGGGGTCTAAGTGCAAATTCAATTTTAGAAAGTCTGGAAATTGTACATGATATTTTGTAACCCTTCCCTACAGCACAACATTCTCCATAAAACTGTCTCAACTTTCAGAATGTTCATATCAATCAACATAACAAATGACCCCAGGGGCTCTGGTGTGGTTTGCTCCTTCTTTCCTGTTACTATTAAACATCTGTTATCCTTATCACTCCTTCTTTGTGCTTGTTCTCTCCAGTAACACTTGCATAACCTAATTGCGTTGCAAGTGCCATAAAAACTAACTAAAACTCAAACACACTTATACACACACACACTGGGGCCAACCTTACTGAAAATAACAGAAAAGAACAACAAAAAGGAGCATTGACATAGTTTATTGACTTAATTATAAATACACTTTATATCACATAATAATAAACATTTGACAATAATATGGTAGCAATAGTTTTGCAGTAACATGTTATGATAGGATCGTTATAAATAACGGAAATACAGTTAGAAAATGATAGAAATAAAGAAACTAAGAAGGACATCATTCTTAAACGTGCATGGTCCACAATAGTACATGAGAATTCTTAGTAATCTCTGCAAATTACAGTGGAGTCCGTTAAAACCAAAATCTCAGGGACAGCCAGATTTTCTTCACAGTTCAGCACAATTTTTGATTTAGAAAGGTTGCTCAAATGGACGAGAATAAATTAGAGATTTTATTTTCTTCGGTTTACTGCACTCTTTTCGGATTAACCATGTTCATTTTAGGAGGACTCCACTGTACTCCAATACCACATTTCAACCGTTTTACCAATCCTCAGCAATGCTGAACTTGCAGCTCGTCAAAGAAGATAATATTGCAGGATTCCTCCTAAAAATAGGCAGGCCAAACATATCTATCAAGCGTTCTAAATTGTCACTTGAATGTCCTTGACTTGAGTTTGTACGGATTTCTTTTCCCAGCTATAAAAAAACATATTTATTTTAAAACAGAAAAACAAAATCTTTTTAAAGGAAAATCCGTTTGAAGTAGAACACTTGGATAATTAGAAGGGCTGATTTAAAGGTGGTTTTTCTACAAGAGAAGTATGGCACACTATGTCAATATAAACTTTAGATCTAAACAAGAAGATGACTTACGAAAAAGCAAAAAGCCTAGAATTGGCTAGGATGACTTCAAACGAAATAGCAAAATACCCAGAATATACTAAAGACTGCGAAATGGTCAAGATATCCAAAATGACTCTGGGAACTTTGTGGAAATAGGTATTCTTGTGCCCCTCACCTAGAAC